TTATAGATTTATAACTGAATACTAAAATACTAACATCTAACTTCTGCACATGTGATAGTTCCAGAAATTTCATGATGTCATCCCTGTTTATTTTTACTTTATCAATCATTTCATCCCTGCTGATATCCTTCACTTTGCCAAATAATGGTACTGCACCACTCAAAAGTTGATTATATATCCAGGTGCTTTCTTCTTCTATGCTAATCTCATCCATAGGAGGAGTACCAGTGCTTTCCTCAAAAATCTGCAGAACAACATGGAGACCTCTGGTTCAACAAAGGACCAAGGAAATAAAGAAAATAAGCATATTTTCAAAAAATTGTCAACATACCTGCATTCTTTCTGGAATATCAGTCATCCTAATCTGGTCATCCTTTTCAGTCATGTACTTTTCAGAAAGAACAGTAGGTTCAAACTCATCTTCAAGTCTTCTCTCCCTCCATTCAGCAGAATCTAAGCCTTGCTTGCGAAGCTGCAGGAGTTCATCAACATCACCAAATATTTCATGAGCTTCCTGTAAAGCAGACGATGAAACTCCTGGTGCCTGCCTGGATTTCTTTCTCTTCAACTTCTTACGTCTACACAGCAAGTCAGTCACTTAGGAGGCAATCCCAAATTTAAATGTAGAGAAGACAGCATGGTAAATGCAGTGCATTTATAATACCTCACAGGAGCTCCATGCTCATCTACTTCTTCTTCATCTACAATAAAGTCTGCCATTTCATCCTCATCACCAATGTCTCCATACTCTTCTTCTTCCATCTGCTCTTCCTCTTCAGCAATATCTTCAAGTGGTACTCCTAAAATGTCAAAAAGACAAACATCAGCAAAACCACATCCAAATTATAATAATGATTCACAAAATGCAAAATATATATATATACACACCTTCATCATCACCAAATAAGCTGCGTTTAAGCTTTTCCTCAGCAGTTCTTCCAGCCACTCCACTCCCATCAAGCTCCTCATCAGAAGGCCCAAATCGCTCCTCGTCAGAATCCCTCTGAGCCTTCTTCAGCCGCTTAAATTTCTTGCTTCCCTAAAAAAATTTAAGAAAAGCCACCATAAAAAATAACCTCCATATAATTCCTAGTTATCCTTCTTGCCTTTTGGCTGGGAAACAAGGATGAAGAAAAGTTCAAAACCTTGGGTAGATTGACATTAACATCATTTTCACGAAGAAGCTCATAGTCCTCTTCATCAAGACTCTCTTCTTCCCTGAAAATTTTGGAATAGAAGTCACTAACATGGTGAAACCACCTTCACTCAAGCTCATGAATTAGGAAACAAAATGTGAGAAAAAATGGCAACTTGAAATGTCATATGAGAACATTTTAACCTTTTCTTCTTTCTCTTCTTCTTCTTTTGCCTTTCTCCATCACTATCTGCCCTCTCTTCTTCTTCTTGCTCATCATCCTCATAATCATCTACTATAAACCCATCATTTTCATATTCATCTTGCCCTTCCTCTGCAAAATTCAATAAAGAAAATGATAACAAAAAGCAGAAATTGGAACATTCAAACCATAAGAGTACCACCAGAACAGAAATTAGTCCTTTTTAACTTTCTCTTTGTGAATTAGAAGGGCAAGGTCCAGAAAGGAGGGAATGCCAACCCATACCTGCATGGAAAGTAAACAATCCCCTGGCCAAAAATGGATTTAAAAAACCAATCCCACACCATGGAATCTAGTTTATTATCAATAATAACAGTTTATCTATGATAAATACTAAATGTTTAGCAGCCAAGCAAAACCAAAATACCCTTAGAAACAATCATATCCAAGAGGAGGAATGGCATTAAAACAAGAAGAATATGGCAATGGAAAATAAAATGAATTGAATCACCACTTCTAACTTCTAACACATATTCTTACAAAAACACTTAACTCAAAACACAAACTGCAAGAATAAATTTCAGAATTATAGCTTCTGTAAATGCACAAAAAATCGAAACAGAGGTGGTTTCAAGAAAGATAAACCAACCAACTTAAAACATAAGTGTTAAATAAAGCCAGAAAAATATAAATGTTATGAATTATCAAATTGTTGGGTCAACTATTGCAGCAAAGCAGTACTCAAGGAAGACTACCACTATTCCAAATACTTCAAATATTCACATTTCCAAAAATGCAAAACATCAGCTGGAAAATTGGAAGTCAGAAATTCAATGAATCTCCAGTTCACCAAATTTGCAATCTCTATCTCAACTATATCAAAATGCCACTTGACTAATTGCAGCTAACTTGGACTGTTGAGCTGACAGGGAAAAAAAAAAAAAAAAGAAAAAAGAAAGAAAGAAAGATCAACCTATCAAGTTTCCTAGTTTATTGTTAGTCTGTTAAATTAAATATAATGCTAAATGTACCACTCTTCTGATTCATCCAATAAAACAATAAGTTCTCTCCTCCTCTCTCCTTTCTCTTCCATTTCTGAGATTCTATTTCTCCCATTTTCTAACCATCCAAACAGAACTTATGGATCCCAGCTCATCTGCCAAAGACTCTTGCAGTTTCTACACATACCACAAACCCTAGCAGCTCAACATAATATGTTCCACTAAAGTTTCTCAACAACCAAACACTCAGGCAAAAAATTTTACCATGAACCCAAAATTGATCAAAGGCTTCATGCCACCAAAAAATAGCACACAAAACCATACGACTTCCATTAGGGTTTCAACTTACCACGAAACCAGATCAGGGTTTAAAGTTTAAGAGAGAAAATCCCATAAAAAAATTTTACCACACAAATTGACATAACCATTATAGAGCAAACTCACAGCATCTGTTCCTAAGTCTGAACCAGAAAAGAAAGGGGAAAGAGATCGGAACCAAACCTTCTTCTTCATCCTCATCGTCTTCGCCCTCAACGACGTCTCCCTCAGGTTCCCGCTCCTCCTCATCTTCGAGCTCCACATCGTCTGGAGAAAAATTGGGTGGAAAAAGGCAACGCAAAGTTTAAGAACTGGAGTAATTAAGATTTGAGAGTCCTTTCTTAAAATGAAAATTTAGGGTTTTGCAGAAACCCACCTTCACCGTCGGAAACCACGTTTCTGGCCATTGTGCGAGGAGAAATACAAGGATAAGGGGGTAGAGAAAACGAATGTAGAACGACGGAGAGATGCTGCTTCTCTTCGTTCCGCGAGTAGATTGCAGAGGCAATACAAAGGCTGCGTAATGTTCTTCGTGAAGGCCAGGACGGACCGTGATTCTATTTATCATAGAACACACATGGTTAAAGCCTTAATTTGGTCCCTTAACTATTGTATAAATTTTTAATTTGGTCCCTTAATTAAAATAAATTTTGATTTGATCCCTATTGCTTTCCCATTTAACCCCAAATTGGTCATTTCTTAAAAAAAATTGATATATCCATTACTTAACAGTAAAAAGTCATTATTTAATGGCATATATTATGTTAATAATGAGATATATTATCTATTTTTTTACAGAAAGATCAACTTTAAGTAAAATTGATAAACAATAGATATTAAATCAAAAAAAAAATTAATTTAAGCACTAAATTTGAGATTTATACAATAATTAAGGGATCAAACTGAAAGTTTAACTAAACAAAAGTGGTTTTCAGAAATGTTTTACATTAGCCCTCCCTCGCACTAAAAAATACCATGCATAATAGTTTCTGCTTGGCAACGAATTAGTCTTTTTTTTTTTTTTTAAAGTAGAAATAAGAATTTTTGTGTTCATCTGATATATCATAAAAAAATTAATAGAGAAGGATAAGGAAAAATAAATATTTTTTATTTTAAAATAATCATTAATTTTTTGTCTTAAGTTTGTATTAAATTAATTATTATTTTTTTATTTTTAAGATAGATAAATATTTTTTTTCATATTTTAACACTGTTGTTATTTATTTAGTTTGATTGATTATCATATTAGTCTTTTAATTTTTTTAAGTAATATAAATAAATATATAAATAGTTCCTAAATTTTAATTTAGAGAAAAGTTAAATATCAAACAGTTATTATGGAATGGAATAAGTAATTATTAATTGACTATGAATAATGTAAATAATTTTTTTGTACAGTATAATTTTTTTATATAAGCATTCACATATTATTAAAGATAGAATATTACTAGATGAAAATAGCCAATTATTTAATGAGGGTGGGTTATTAATATGACCTAAATAGTTAATATCACACTCTTTTAATATAATTATTTATTATTTATATTATATTTTTTTTTGTCAAAATTTTACATATTTTTTATTCTCTAATAAATGAAAAAGTATAATAATTAATTAATTAAGAAAAAAAATTGTAAGATGTAAAATTGTATAAAAAAATTACATAAAAAATTGTTTTTAAATTATTTTTTAATTTAAAATTAATTTATAAATTAATATTTCAAGACTCCCTATGCAAATCTTTAGTAAGTAAAAGAAAAAAACTATAAGTTGATGAAATCAATATGACTAAACACATCCAAAATTATTTTTTTTTTAGTATAGAAGTTTTAAATTACTAAACATAAAATCACAAATTAAGATTTTTAAGTTTTGAGTGCCAATTGCACATCTCTTGTTGTTAAGTATTCTGAATTCTCTCATTTTAGAGTGTGAGAAATATAACTTATATTATGTACAAAATTAATTACAGGTAACTTTGTTAACTTGTTCTATACGGAATTAACGCAAGGGATTAAAAAAAGGAAAAAAAATGGTTAATTAACTAGGTATTATGTAGAATATAGGAGTTCAATTAGCTTAAAAAAAGATTTGAGGTAAAAATCAAAAACGAAAATTAAGTTCAGTGTCTAACATAATTCATCAGTGAATTCAAATTATAACTGGATTTAGTTAGAAATTACAACAGTTGAGCCTAAATCTCAACTAAACTAGTGATAATCTCGTTTAACATAATTAAAAAGTATTAAGTTTGAGTCATGTGATATTCAAGAGTAACCCTCTAATGTTTTATGGTCATGACAGCAGCAAAACAAAAACACATAATAGTCGAAAGGGCACCATGAGTAATCCCATTTCATGGATAAATAAGGGTTGTGATTATTACCACCATCAAATTTGTTAAGCACCAAAATTTTGATTTTTTTTTCTTAAATATTGTATGAAAATATCAATTTATTAACTGATTTTAATTTATTAACTAAAAAATATGGAATATTAGATTCATTATTGGTTAATAGTGACAATAATTATCTATTTTTATTAGTCAAATTAAATAAAAACAATATTTTAGTTAAATCTTTATTTGGCTGATCAAAAAATAAATAATAATAGAATCAATATTGTTAAAGACAACATTTTACAATTTTAATGACAATAAAATTATTATTGGTAGCCATAACCATACCCATAAATAAGAACATGGATATGTCTCCTTGACTCTCCCTACCATTATCACTACCACTAGAATTAGTACTGAAATTACTGCTCCTGAGGGAATTCTTGAATTGCGCCGTTTAAGACAAACTGGCTGTCTTCATCTGTAACACCAGTGGGTATTTCTGCCACTCAACATCCTATCCTTCCTTTTCTTCAAAAAATTTCAACAGAACTCAAAGTTGTCCCAGGAAGTCCTCAGTCTTTTAACTGCTATATGTCAGCATAATGGCAAACAATGCACCAAATGGTGCAACAATATGAACATCATTAAAGGGTTATCACCGTTCAAAGAATTCAAGAAATAAAAAGCATATGCAGCTACAAAGTACCATTCTTGAACTCATGCAAGACAAAGTAATTTATTGATTAACTAAAGGTAATTAATTATCTTGCAAAAACAAACAAATAGTAATTTTTAATTAACTGAAGGTCATTAGACATAAGCTCAGTCAAAATAGATAGCCAACGCTGCCAAACCACATCAAAATAAATAGTCATGAGCAAGATTTATAACACAAATCAGAACTCTATAAACTTGTTTGGTTTGAGGGGAAATGAGGAAAGGGAAGGGGACAGGGAGAAGTATCCTTATTTGGGTAACAAAAAATTGAAGAGCGGAGGGGAGGCAAGGGGTTTTAATTTTTTTTTTTTTTGTATTTTAGTCTAAGCAAACAAGAGGAGGGAAAGGGAGGGAAATGGAATGATATCCTTCTATTTCCCTCCCCACCCATCCATTTCCCTCAAAACAAACTGGGGTATAAATAGCAATCCAACCAAAAAATAATGATAAACCAACAAATTCGTCAGATAAATAGCAATCATAAGTCACTAAATTACTTAATAAAGATATCCAAAATAGGTTCCAACTTCCAAAACATGAAAGGCAAAGTTTTTTTTTTTTTTTTTTGGGTGAAAATAGGGATTAAATATATCAAAATAAGAAACCAATTTTTTTTTTTTTTTTTTTGGGTGAAAATAGGGATTAAATATATCAAAATAAGAAACCAACATACAACTAGTCTCAGGGAGATTCCACCCCAATCATATCAGCAAGAAGATACATACCAAGGGCCCGAGGAGAAAACATCAAAAACAACAATATCCAAAGATATGAAGTGGCCAATCTTGGATAGATGATCAGCACACATAGTAGACTCCCTACATATAAATGTGCTTGATCTGGGCCTGGCTAAACTTGCTGAGAAGCTCCCTGCAATCCAAAAGGAGAGAACTCAAGGAAAGGTTAAGGCTTGGATGGTGACTGAGGTGGCTGAGGAGAGGAAGAACCAATGCCCAAATGTCTCTCAAACCGTACAAGTTTATTCCAAATCTTCTTCAGGATGTTTGAGCATAATCTACTACTTTCTGCCTCTTCTTCTTCACTCTCTTCAGAATTTACTAAACATGAACCTATAATTGATTTTTGCAAAAAACAAAAAACTTGGGTTTCATAAAAATTAATCTAGCTAGGAAATTGATCCAACTATTACAAGTGACAACTCAAAATCACAGCATCTGTACCTAACTCTAAAACAGAAAAGCAAAAAGAGAAAGATGGAAAGTATACCCTCCTCTTCGTCCTCATACCGTCTCCCTCGGGTTCTCCCTCCTCGTCATCTTCAAACTCCATATCGTCAAAGAATGGGGTGAAAAAAGCAGTGTATTAGATAAATTGAGAGTGCATTCTTAGAATGAATATAGGGTTTTGCACAGAAACCCTCCTTCTCCATCGGAAACCATGTTTCTGTCCATTGTACGAGGAAGAAATCTAAGGAAGAGGATGAGAAAAAGGAATATGGAACAACGGACAAAAGCTGGTGTTCTGCGAGTAAATTTTTGAGAGAAAAAACAAAGGCAGCAAGCACCGAGATTCTATTTTTGTTTAAAAAAAACTGAAGCATCGAGTAAGTTTTGTTTTTTATTATTCATTAATTTAAATTTTTTAATTTAAAATTAAAGTTAATGATTAATAAGGTAATTTCTTGAAAAATATTTTATTTTATAATTTAAATTATAAAATAAAAATTATTTGATTAGAACAACTCTCTTCATATTAATGAATATTTTTCACGTTAAATTATTAAATTTATAATTTAAATTAATTTAAATTATAAAATACCTTTTTTCCACTCTCAAAGTGTGAAAAAATAAAAGCTAAAGGGTCTGTTTGGGTGTGGTAATTCTCTGCATCAAACAGATTAATATTACAATTTAAAATAATCTGAAGTATAAACCCTTTTTTTTTTGGCTCTCTAAGTGTTAAAAGAAAAAAAAATAACCAAAGGGTTGTTTGGGTGTGGTAATGAGCACAATTCATTTTGTTCAAATTATTTGAAAATTGTTTAGTTTAATAGATATTTCCCTCGATTGTATTTTTTAAAACAAACTAGGTATAGAGCTAATTCTAAATGATTAAATAATAAATATTATTTTATTAAATCATTTTTAATATTAAATTAAATAAAATTATACGTCTTTTTTTAAAATATGAATAATTATAAAAGAATGAAGATTTTTAAATAATCAGTGAGAGTCATACTGTTAATAAATTAAAAACAAGTTTAAACATTAAAATCTGGTGGGCACGAATCATTGAAGGCAAAGAACCAATTCAATAAAATTATATGTCTTTTGACAAATAAAATTATATGTTTTTCCTCTTTACAAAATGGTGGTTTGAAAAAGATAAAATTATACCCACCACTCGTGGCGTGTTTAAAAAAAGATATTTTGATCCTTTTTTTTTTTCTGAATTTAGGAGAATTTTTAAGGGTGAAGAATTAATGACGTTCAAGTTAAGGTGTTCGCAGTATGGTTTGATTCAGATTTTATTATTTTTAAAATCAATCTAATTTAATTGGTTAATAAAATTTTTAAACCAATTAAATCTATTATTATGTAATAATTAAACCAATTCAATTTAAATCAGATCGGTGTAGTTCGATCGGATTGATTGGTTTTTAACATCATTAAATATATAAGATAATGTAAAAATATTTTAATATCAAATAGAAAATATAAGTATCAAATACATTAACATCCAAATTAGTAAAAACATAATAATAGGTAAAAATTATAAATAAATTCTTATACTCCTTTACATTTGTAAAAATTGAAAAACTCTAAAAATTCTTCTTGATTATATCATTAGAAGCACTAAAAATAATAAAAAATAACTTTAAATTTTTAGCACAACGTAAATAATTCTTGAAGATTAAAATTAGTTTTTTTTCGTAATGCACTAATAATTTAATCGCATTTTCTAAATCCTATTACAAGTGAATAAAATTTAACATGAATATTACTGAAATTGATTAGAAGCATTCATAATCAAAATTTAAAACTTCTAAACCAAATATCAAAAAATAGTAGAATATTAAGACTAATTTCATTATATAGTTTTAAGGTTTTTAGAATGATACTTATTTAAAATTTAGTTAGAAGAATCATAAGATTATTTTAGGAATAAATTAAAAATTTAGGGTTTTAAGAGTAAAGGCGCAAACTAGTTCTGAAATTATAGAGTTGCTGGTGAATTAAAAATTTAGAATTAAAGTTAGAATGCATGATTAAAATGAAGAAATAACTTAAGGAATATGGAGATATTTTATTTTTATTTTTTCAATTAAGTTAATGGAGTTATAATCTTGTAAAATAAGAAAAAAAATTTAAAATACTACAAAAAAATATGTTATATTATTTAATTAAATTATCTTCTAATCGGATTTTATTTTGTAATCGGACAGTTCGAACGGTTTGAAGGTAAAATCACGAATCAAATCAATTATATCAGTTTTATAATTTTAGAATTCAAACCAATCCAATTTTATATTGATTTGGACTAGTTTTTAATTGGATTGGATCAGTTTAGATTAGATAAATTAGATTAGATCGGACATAAATACCCTTAGTTTAAGTGTAAAATCTAGAATTTCATATCTTAATACCTTTTAAAAATTGATATTGTCACTGAACCACTTATTGTGGGATGATATTTCATTAGAATTTAAATATTTTAATAAAAATAATATATTTTATAAATTAAAGTTATTATCTTATTAAGAATTTAATTAAATTACTCATTATAAATTAGTTGTTTTACTTGAGAACACCTTATTTTATAGGCAAAACCATAAGTTAAGCCCCTGAACCAACCCCAGAATCGCTATTAAGCCCCTAGACTCTAATTGATGCATATAAGCCCCTGAACTCTACAATCCGAGCAATGTTGCCCCTCCTCTCACAGTCAACTTAACTGCTGTAAACTGCCGTTTGAGGACTGCATCGTGTGGCGAATTGTGGCTGTCTCATGCCTACGTGGCAAGCGATTTTGCATCTGGTTTGCCCACCTTGATGCAAAAAAAAAAAAAAAA